GTCATAGGCCGAGAGATGGCCGTAACAAATCATCATGAGTTTGTTACACAATGAATCAGAAGTCGGGCGTGATGTCTATGAAGCTTTGCNTGGCACTGGATTTTCTTTTACTGATAAAGAAACTCACTATCTAAGCAATGAATCAGAAGTCGGGCGTGATGTCTATGAAGCTTTATGTCAGTTTTTTATTCTTTTCAGCGAGTACAAAGGAAATCCATTTTATATAACCGGCGTCAGTTATGGGGGCAAGTTTGTCCCTGCAGCTGGCTACAAAATTCACACAATGGGAGAACAGGCTAAAAAGGACGGATTTAACCTGAAAGGCTTAGCAATTGGAAATGGTCTTTGTGACCCCAAAACTCAAATTGATTACGGAGATTTTCTGTGGAAGTTTGGTCTTATTGACAAACATCAAAAAGATCACTTTTTAGCTGAGCAAAACAAAGCAACAAAGTTCATCAACGAAAAAAATACACTGAAGCATTAGTTGTGATGATAAATTTGATTTTTGGCTTTCCAATACCAGGTCAACCTCACTACCCAACTTACTTTAACAATGTTACTGGGCTTAGTTGGGTGTACAACCTCAATGAAGAGGGACCATCTGAAAGTTTAGTCAGTTATCTGCCGTATGTTGTAAAGAATACAACTCGGAAAGCACTTCACGTTGGGGCTCAAACGTTTGCTGAAGGTTCATCATTGGTGTTTAGTCACATGTTCAATGACATTTACAACAGTACTAAACCGTGGATTGAAGAAATGCTCAACGAAAATGTCAGAATGATGTTCTACAATGGAAATTTGGACATTATCGTTGCGGCTACTTTAACTGAAAAGTTTTTAAACAATTTAAAAGGGAATAAATCGAGCAAATTTTACTCTGCAGATAGAAAAGTTTGGAAAGTAGCAAAAGAAGACCGTTCAGTGGCAGGTTATGTCAAGCAAGTGGACAACCTTTACTTTGCGGTGATTCGCAATGCCGGCCACATTGTTACGCATGACCAGCCCCGAGTTGCTAAGAATTTGATAACTCGTTTTATTAAGGGTTTAGATTACTGATTTCAAATGTTTTGAACTGTTTAAAAATTGTAATTTTTGTTGTTTGTTTTCATTTATTACTAATTCAGTTATTAAAACCACAATGCTCTAATTAACGTCTAGACACTTTTAGAGGGAAAGACTTTACATTCAACAGCAATGATCCTGGTTTGAATGACAGTTTCTGAGGCGTATTTGGTGTTGTAGAAAATCGGTAACGACGAATGACTTTAGCCAAAAACAGCTTAATCTCCTGGTAAGCAAATCGCATGCCGATGCCTGCAAAAAATAAAACAGATTAAACTACTCTGTTGTTTATCAAAAAAATCTGGTCAAATTTTTTGTACAATTACGCGGACCCTGGCCAAAGGGAATGTAAGAGTACGGTTTTAAATTTTGACGGTTTTCGGGTAAGAAACGCTCTGGCTTAAAAACAAAAGGTTCAGGAAAGTACTCAGAGTCATGGTGAACCGCTGAAATGATTATAGTGGTAAAAAATAAAAACAAAAGCAAATATTTGCATTAATAAGTTACCATAGGCACTAATTTCAATCAGTGTGTCCTTAGGAAGGTGAACGCCTGAAATAGTGTAACCTTTTTCAGAAGTAATTCTTCTCTCAATTCGAATCGCTGGTGGATATCTCCGCAGTGTTTCCTTAATAGTAGCGTCCAAATACGGTGAACCGTTGACGACAATTTCAAAATACTCCTGTGAGGTCATAGCTTCATCAGTAAGAAAATCTGCCAGGTTAGAGTTCAACTCTTCAAATAATTTGTTCTGAACGTCGGGATATTTAGCCAACTCAAACAGACAGTTTGTTAATGCTGATAAAAAACATTTTTAGTTTAAAAACACAAAAAAGGTATTTTTTACTTGAAGCAGTTGTTTCAAATCCTGCAGCAAAAAACAAGATTGATTGAGCAATGATGTCATCTTCAGACAACTTGTGTTTTGTTGGCTGAAAACTATCGCTTGTTTCAAGAGACTTTGTTTCACTAAAGTCTTCATTAGCACCTGTAAATAATTAAACTCATGTTATTTAAAAATAAAACAAACACAGATTAACTTACTAGCAGTTAACTTGCTGTAGTCAGTGTTTTGTAGCGCGTCATCATAAACAAAACTGTCAACCATCAACTGAACAAAGTCATTTCGCTTAGTACTGGTGCCCTCTTCAAGTTTCCTTTGCTGCAGTATCTGCTTTGTCAAATTGATAAAGTAGTCAAATGAATTTTGATCAAACCAAGTGGTGATATTGAGCAAATTGAGCACCCGCCGAGGTAATGCAAAAACAGCAGCAATTTTAAAACCATTAAAGGCAAATATGGTTTCACTGTGTTTCAGCAGAGGATCGTTGGCGTTTGTGCGATCTCCATTGGTGTCCGTTTCAGTTGCAAACGATGTGCAGGCAATGACGTCGATAGTGAAGCCAATGATGACTGCTTTTGGATCGATCACCGCTTCTTCACCAGACACACCAATTGTTTGCTGGTCCAAATAGTTGACCAACTTCATAATGCACCGATCCATCAGTGGATACATCTTTCGAAGAGCGCCACTGGTGAAGGCAGGGCTGGTGATTGTTCGAACGCGTTTCCACGACTCGGATTCAGCATTGAAGAGGTTGCCATTCCACAGGTGGTGGTAGGAGTTAAGAGACCGTCTATTCAAGAACATTTGAAAGTCTTTAATGCAAATGTTTTTGATTATATCGGCGTCATTGACTGTTAAGGTAGGCAAAGTTCCTGTGTACAAGCCGTAGATCCGACCGTACTTTTGAGCGAGATCATACTCAAAATCTGGCGGTTCATTGATTGCGCGGTTTAGAAGATAACCAAATGGAAAAATGGGTTTTGGGCCTTGAATTTTTCTGTCTGACCAAAAACTGTACTTTCGTTTAATGTAACTAAAAGTGAAAAAGTTATATTTTGTTTCAGAATGTATTCAAAACATTGAAAACAACTTTTTAACTTACAAATAGAAAACTAAAACAAAAGGAATAAGTTGTAACAAAAAATAGAAAAACATTTTAATGTTTTTTGAAAGCAAAAAATGAAATTTTAAAACAATTTATTTAAATTACTGCAAGTTCATTTTCTTATATGCATCAGTTATCAGTCATCAATGAAAAACAATCAAGCTTTAATGTGTCAGTACATTTTCCTTTATCAACTCATTTTTTGCTGATTAAATATGCATTTTTATCGATCGACAATGAAAATCAAGTTTTAACATGTCTGTGCATGATTTTATTATCACAGACTACTTTTAAAAGTGATAATAAGATAATGAAATCAATTCATGTGACTTAATAATTTTAATTGTCGCTATGCATTGTTGCATAATTACTGTCCTTTTAAAAAACATGTGTACTAGTGTAAAACAAATCAATTTTTTATTTTATTGATAAACAGTTTTTTGATTGACATGTTATTGAATTTTTTGTTGTTTGTAAAAATACTGACAAACAAGTTTTTGAAAATTAAAAAATTATACAATTTTTGTTGTTTTACAACAAATTTAAGTTTTGAAAACATTTGTGATAAAAATTCAACAAAATTTATATTCAATAATTTGTTTAACTATAAATTAAACTTTGTTTTTTATAAAATAAGCAAAAAAATAAGTCTAAAGCAATTATTGCGTCAGGACAGAAAAAGAAAAAGTAAACAATGACTAAATCGTGTGACCACTGATGACCTGGTGTTTTGATCTAAAAAAATTAACAAAAAAATACGACACACTAACAATTAGGCAAACAATGACGCGCAACAAATAAATAAATGTAAGCCATTGCACACAGGTATTGTGAGGACAAGTAGAAGAGAAAAAGGGAAAAAGAGAATGCCAAGTGGTGTTGGTGGTCACCTGATAAGGTGCACACTACTATCATGCCCATCATCAACAGCAGTCTCTTTATTGTTTGGCATACCAACGCCATTGATATACAGCGCTGACAGGTCACCAATTGTGTAAAGGAGCCACCATTAGCTATTGATGCTTAGGTGCCATCGACTCGACGCTTACGGCCAAAATGAAGGCGGTGATGACAGCGGCGGTGGTAGTTGTGGCGGTGGTGGGCCAATCAATCGGATGCCAAACGACGTAAATTGTTAATGCACACTGTACAGCAGCATCAGAAGCCAAACTACTACGTACACACTGTCCAATATATAAATTGTTGGGAAAGAGGTGGATTGTGCGAGTAAACTGTCACTGCTTCTGATTCACCGCCATTTAGCAAAACACCTTTTCTCGTTGACTTACTGCATTGATTGACTACCTGATTTTTATACGCATTGAAAATTGTTATCATCTATTGCAAATTGATTTTTTAAAATCTAACAACCAAAAGAATTTTTAAACCTTTCTCCTGAAAAGTGCATGTGCAAACTTCTCCGCCGCATCATGGGAAACTGGTTAGGCTCAGGTGACAAGCCGGACAGCGTCATCTCGCAACCGAGCATCATTGGCAA